GCCAAAAAAAAAAAAAAAAAATCACACTGCCATTAAGAAATGACAGCTGGGCAGCAGAAAGTAGCAGGCCCTGTGGAGCTACGCTGGGCCAGGCCAAGCCTGGAGGCCTCTGCCACTACTCCAACACAAGCGTTTTGCTCTGGAACTGAGAGCAAAGCCTGATGCGTAGATCTGAAAGCCCCAGAAGCCACCGCCTCCGCTGCAGTAGGGTACCCAGGCCTCGAATTCACATCCCGCTGTAACACGTGCTTTTTCAAGAGACAGCAAACTCCTGGGTATACGGTCTTCTAGGTATACGCTTTCTTCTGGAAAGATGCCATTTAACAAGAACAAAGCTGTTTTATGGGAGTTTGAGATACCATAAGCTACTCAAATCGCTAACGTAGCACTACCTTCCCACACAGGGCCTTAAGAACAGCTGTTTCATGACAGCAAAGCCATACACTTGGACCTGTGCTGTACAGAGAGCGATCAGGACTGCTCAGTTTGCACTGCAGATTTCCAGCTCTTCCCTGGTTCTGAAAAGCACTTAAAACCAAGATTCCAACCTGCGCCTGCAAGAGGTGTGTGGATGCCCCTGCCCACAGGATGAAATTGCAAAACCAAGCTGGTCTTCTGAAGCCCTCCCCTCTCCTGTACCTCCCCTTTCACCTGAGGATCCAGTACGTGATGTCAGTGAGACTTACTTCAGGCTTAAAGCTATACTCTTACTATGCTCCCATTTCCACATTCATAAACCCTTGAATTTTGTGGTGTTACTTACCATCGAGTAATTCTAAAGTAACTGAAGGATCTACATATTCCCACCAGTGTTTCCCATCAGTCGATACAGGAATCTCCCAGTTGGACCACTTGCATGCCAAGTGAATGCACACACATGCTATCACTGTGGGCTTGTACTGAAGACAGAATGTAGTAAGGTGAAGACTGTTGCACAGGTTTCGTAATGAGGAACCAAAGGAAATCAAACATGTAAAACAGAAAACCCAAACAAATCAGCCATTAACACACAGAACAAGGCAACGTGTCAAGCAACAGCAGTTAAACATCAGTTCACGGAACATTTTGCTGATCTAAGTTCCTAAGATAATTTACTGCCAAAAGAAAACCAAGGGCAGGGCATTTATCTGGTCAGAAAGTTTAATTCGCTTTTCCTACAGAAAGTGTGAGGAACAGTAAATAAATTTACCAGTTATTCTATGGTACTTAAGTACTAAAAAGAAAGTAGTACAATACAGTGAATGAAAATTCCACAGTAAAGCACACGCAGCTGTTATGCAGCTGCCGAAGGAGACGATCAGCAGAAGGTATTCAACAGTTCTGCAGAGGGCAAGTGAATTATCTGTGGGCTTAGCTTTCACTTGGCCTGGATTTGTGATACTTGTGAACTTGCTTTCAGCTTCCGGCTGGCAGCAGCACAAAGATAACGGTGCACAGCTTCACAGAGGGGTTGGAAGGGACCTCTAGAGATCGTTTAGTCCAAATCCCCCTGCCAGTTTCACTGCTTTATTTACCACAGCCTTTCGCAACTGCTGTCTCAGATACAGCACTTTGTCCATCAAGGAACCACCGAGAACTAGTTACTGGAATAGTTCTAATAACCAGCAGATATTGCTGAAAAACGATGTACACGTTAAGTGTCCGTTTAAGTTAAACTGACAGTTGGTTATCCAGAAGTAAATTGAAGTAATTGAGAAATCAAGACTCAAGTCTGCTCTCAAATTCCATCTTTCTGCAACAGGCTCAGTACACATCATCTCCATTTGGACTCCTAGAACTTAAAAGTTTATTTAAGTATTTAAGTTTTAAAACTCTGTATTAAAGAGCCGCTTCTCAAAGGAAGAACACTGGACTACTACTGGTCTATCTGAAAAGAAAAATCAGGTAGCAGGCCCACCACAATTTTATATGTAAAGACTGGATCAATATATTTAAAGTTAAGAGAAAACTGCCATTAACTACAAGTGTAAACTAAAAATAGTTTTGTACTTACCAAGATGCTCGAATTTCTAGGTTAAGATTAGCTCTTTGTAATCTTTAGCTGCTATTCAGGCTACCAATTTTAGACTTATGCACTCACAATCGAGAAAAAGTCATCAGAAAGCACCACTACACTTCTCATTGTGCATTTAACCCCTTTGTGCCATCAGGCCCTTGTACAATACACCGCACTGCAGACAGGAAGGTACCACCACTGTAGATGGCCCAGTCTCCCGCTGCAACAAGGGTAAGACACGTGTCGGGGGCCCTGCAGTAAAGGAAGCTATAGTGTGCTACAACAGTGCAACAAAGAGGTTCAGGATAACAACCTGTTGGTAGCCATGAAATAGGATGTCTGTGCCAAATCCTTGCTTGCTGTAAGAAAAGAAAAAGGGAGAGATTAAAGGTCTGCGCTAACTTCTCAGGTTCATTCCAAAATCAAAGCAGTTTTATTTTCCAAAAGTAGCACTCGGTATTTCCGCTGAACTGATCTGCACGTAGCTAACTAGCCCCTCACGTC